TAGGCGTGAGCCACTGCACCCGGCCTCATTTATTTCTACTATATAGAAGTACCACCAATTTTTTTTTTTTTTTTTTTTGAAATGGAGTTTTGCTCTTTCGCCTAGGCTGGAGTGAAGTGTAATCTTGGCTCACTGCAACTCCTGCCCCCCAGGTTCAAGTGATTCTCTTGCCTTAGCCTCCCAAGGAGCTGGGATTATAGGTGCCGACCACCACACCTGGCGAATTTTTGTATTTTTAGTAGAGATGGAATTTTACCATGTTGCCCAGGCTTGTCTCAAGCTCCTGACCTCAGGTAATCCACCCTCCTCGGCCTCCAAAAGTGTTGGAATTACATGCGTGAGCCATCGTGCCCGACCAGTACCACTAATTTATATATATTGATCTTGTGTCCTGCAACCTTCAAGTTACTGGTATGTGTATTTTTTTTTTGAGACGGAGTCTCGCTCTGTTGCCCAGGCTGTAGTGCAGTGGCATGATCTCGGGTCACTGCAACCTCTGCCTCTGCTTCAGTTCCTGGGGTTACAGGCACCCACCACCACGCCCAGCTAATTTTTTTGTTTTTTGAGGCAGAGTCTCATTCTGTTGCCGAAGTTGGAGTGCAGTGGCGTGATCTCAGTTCACTGCAACCTCCACCTCCCAGGTTCAGTTGATTCTCCTGCCTCAGCCTCTCGAGTAGCTAGGACTACAGGTGTGTGCTACCACACCCGACTAATTTTTTGTATTTTTAATAGAGACGGGTTTCACCATGTTGGCCAGGATGGTCTTGATCTCCTTACCTCGTTATCCCCCAATTTCAGCCTCCCAAAGTGCTAGGATTACGGGTGTGAGCCACCTCGCCTGGCCTGTGTGTGTATATCCCTTATGGCTTTCTAGATGTAAGGTCATGTTATTGGTGAATATAGTTTTAATTTCCTTTCCAATCTGCATGCCTTTTATTTCTTCTTCTTTCCTAATTTCCCTGGCTAGAACTTCCTGTACAATGTTGATTAGAAGTGGAAGAAGGGAGCATCCTAGTTTGATCTTTGGGGGAACATTTTGTCTTTTACTATCAAGTCTATTAGCTTTATGGTTTTGTTTATAGCCTTTTAATAGGTCGAGGAAGCTCCTTTTCCTACTTTCTTGGGTTTGTTAAAAAAAAAGATTCAGGCTGGGCGTGGTGGCTCATGCCTGTAGTCCCAGCATTTTGGGAAGCCGAGGCTGGTGGATCGCCTGAGGTCAGGAGGTCAAGACCAGCCTGGCCAACGTGGCGAAAAGCTGTTTCTACCAAAAAATACAAAAATTACCTGGGCACAGTGGCAGGCATCTGTAATCCCAGCTACTAGGGAGGCTGAGGCAGGAGAATCGCTTGAACCTAGGAGGGGAGGGTTGCAGTGAGCTGAGATTGTGCCACTGTACTCCAGCCTGGGAGACAGAGCAAGACTCCGTCCAAAAAAAAAAAAAAAAAAAAAGATTCAAAATGAAAACTTTAAAGGCTCTGGTAGTTAGCTTTTAATTATAAGGCTCAAATATTGTATGTAATTGACAAATCCCAATTAATATATGAAAGCAGAATTTTTTTTTTTTTTTTTTCCTGAGACAGAGTCTCACTCTGTCACTTAGGCTGGAGTGCGGTGGCACGATCTGGGCTCACTGCAACCTCTGTCTCCCAGGTTTCAAACACTTCTGCCTCAGCCTCCCAAGTAGCTGGGATTACAGGCACGCACCACCAGGCCAGGTAATTTTTGTATTTTTAGTAGAGGTGGGGTTTGACCATGTTGGCCAGACTGTTCTCTTAACTGCTGGCCTCAGGCAATCCACCCACCTTGGCCTCCCCTCCCAAAGTGCTGGGATTACAGGCATGAGCCATGGTGCCTGGCCCAGAATTTCTAAATACATAAAGGTGAATTCTTATCTTTTAAAATTTTTTTTAAAGATGGGGTTTCACCATATTGGTCAGGCTAATCTCAAACTCCTGACCTCAGGTGATCCACCTGCCTCAGCCTCCCGAAGTGCTGGGATTACAGGCAAAGGTGAATTCTTACCTGTGCTTTAAAAAAACCTGGAGCAATCTCGTGATAGTAAGTCTTATGAGATAAAAAATAAAAAAACCTGGAGCGAGGATGACTACCTCTCTCTCACACACACACATGCAAATACATCTTATTTATTCCTCCTAGGTGCTAAAATCAAATATTTTGCCTAGCTCCCCCTTTTCAGAACCACAATGTCCAGCTTCTTTTGATAGGCATGATCATAAGAATATATTTTGACCCTTTATTTAAGAGGTAACAATGAGTACAGCTTGCTGTATTGGTCCCTAAACGAAAGGATTGCGTCTGCCCTCATTGCTTGTTTTATTCAGTTGTAATACTACAAATTTATTTCTTCTGTTTTATTCAGTTGTAATACTATATAAAAATTCATTAAGTGGTAGTACTACATACAAATAATGAGGTGCTAGAGCAGTACTGGATGACTTTAGTTAGCTGTTACAGCCTGGGTCTAGAAGAACTTTGGAGAAGCATACTGCTTCTGCTAATGCTAGTTTTTGGATTGCCAGGTCAACATAAAATGTAAATGTTTATGTTAAAGAATCTATTCTCCTAGCCTGCTCTAACTTGGAGGTCTGATTTAGATAACTTCCCCAATTGAGACATGATCATACTATCTCCAAGGGCACTTTCCATGTAACTTTTGTTTACCATGAGCCAAAGTATGAAGTGGCTATTACAAGAATGGCCAACTTGCCAAGGATAAAAGCTGGAATTCAGTAGGCACTGATAAATGATCACAGAAAATCTTTACCAAAATTTAAATTACAAAGAACAAAACTGACAGTTTTATAACTGATGTCTTAAATTTGTCATTTATTTTACAGAGACTACCTATTACACTTAAGACATTGTGTTAGATCTTTGCCAAAGACAGGGTTTGGTCATATTAATGTAATTCATTTTTTCCTTTAACTTTCCATATTAATGTAATTTTTAATTCATTTTTCTTTATGCTTGCTTCAGGGGCTAAATCTGGGACTGAACAGCAGCATATGGCCCAAAGGCTGTGGTTTTGCTACTCATGCTCTATATTCTAGGCTCTTCCAGAGTTGAGTATAGCAGTCACTATCTTAATACAGTGTGTCACCATTTTATTTCCTGCAGAGAAACAGATTAACTTCCTTTATTTAATACTGATAAATAGAAAGGCTTTTTGAAAAAGCAAAAAAAATCTTATGTTTATGAAAAAGTGATTATGCTAATATCTGCCATTAACAAAGAAAATACTGAAATCTGCACAAAATCAGATGTACCATAAATTTTTAAAAAATTATAGGGCAATAAAACTGTGGGAAAAGCTGTGGGAAAATAGGCCAGATATGGTGGGCTCATGCCTGTAATCCCAGCACTTTGGGAGGTCAAGGCGGGCGGATAACCTGATGGAGTTTGAGACCAGCCTGACGTACATGGAGAAACCCCACCTCTTCCAAAAAAAATTAGCTGGGTATAGTGGCACATGCCTACTACTAGTAATCCCAGCTACTCAGGAGGCTGAGGCAGGAGAATCGCTTGAACCTGGGAGCTGGAGGTTTCGGTGAGCCTGGGCAAAAACAGTGAAACTCCATCTCAAAAAAAAAAAAAAAGTCCCTATGCAGCTAATTACAAGAGAATATTGTAAATACATTCAAAAAGTTTTCCAAAAATCCTGCAATTTCATCTAGAAACTGATACATGTTAAGATTCATGATCTATAGCAAACTATAATGTCAAGGAAATCATGCAAGCTAAGGTACATATTTGATGCATTAGAAACTATCATTTGAACACTATTTAAATAGTTTAAGGTCTAATTCCAAGTTAAGGTGTGTAAATGGAGATTAGCTTGGATTATATGACACAGGAGACAATAAAAAATGTTCTCAAAGACACTGCAATATATTTCCTTGAAACAAAACCTTAGCAAACAAAAATTTTCATACTATACATGGGAATAACTAAAACCTTTATTAGATATGATTTTTCATTAACAATAATGTGAAAATTAGAATTATGAATTCAAAAAGCAGTGAAGTCTGAAAATTTAAAAAGTAGACTAAGTATTAGGGGACAAAAGGTAAAGGAAGACGAGAATGTTTCTTTAATATTCATTATCTCCCCTCTGTACACAATGTTGCATATATACAACTACTTCATTTTTATTGACTTTATATAATAGTGAGATCGCCTTAAGCAACCTAGGGTATACAGCCGGTGTCTAACTTTCAGGGGGTGGGGTGGGGGAGAGCAGAAACACACTTGATTAACAGTTTTCACCCACACATTTTAGTTAATTTTTTTCTTTTTTTTGCCAAGATTTTAGTAGTAAATTCATAAATACAGGAAGTACTTTCACTCCTTCAGTGTTAAAATAGAAAACCAAACAGTGCCAACAATAGTGGCTTAATTATTGGTATACAAGAAAAACATAACACCAATGGGTTTTCTTAATTATGCATTTTAAATATCAGTATGTGCATTTGTTTTTACAGTTATAAATTTTCTCATCTGTTTTAGACAACAGCTTGTAATAGTTTTGGATCCATTAAGATGTTGCTTTTCAATTTGAAACATTTTGTGTATACATGTATATAAAAAAATAACCCAATGTATGACTCATCTGACAAATGTTTAAGATCAATAAAGGCTTATTTTTCAACATGCAGTTAGGAAGAGAGGGAAGCAAGCCAACCTCTCTACACTGTCTTTTTGCTGGCTTGTTTTTCCAGTGGTATCAATAGTGGTTTTTGGAGGGAACCATGTGCGTTCAGCCTACCTAGTTAAGATCAGATACCACAATCAACAAGAGGGGAAGGGGGAGTGGGTAAGTGTTAAATATCAATTTTTTTTAAAGTGTGCATTTTGTACTCTTTCTAGGTACAGTATTAAAAATAGGCCAGTGAGGAAAAAATTGTTATAATTAGGAAAAAACTGCAATCAAATCAAGACATAATAGCCGAATTAAGCTCTTTTAATAGATTGCATATATAGATGTTTAGCCATATTCTTAGATCAACTCTTTAAGAGTAGAACTTTATATCCAATTTACATGCTCTAGATGCCACCTTTCTTATTTTTTACAGTAAGGTTTGGTATTCAAATACCCACTGGTACACTGACAGCTTTAAGAAAAACAGGACACAGAGGGAGTTGTCATTTTTAGCAGCAATGAAATACCACTAACCCCTTTTTACATACCGAATTCAAGTCACTATCAGAGGTGAGTGCACCACAAAGTCACCAGGTACAAAATTGCTAGTTCATTTTTAAATTAATAACTTGAAATTACCCTTGCCCCCCACCCCATTACATCTTTTTATAAACAGCAAACATTTTGCTATTTTATACATAGGCTAGCAGGCTTGTTTCAATATGAAAGTGCTAATTCATTTACAGATTTTTATAATCAGTTATGTAGTGCTACAATAAATGTCCAATAATCTACATAGGAACAATGATGAATGAAAAATGAAGAATTGAATAAGGCTATCAGATTACCTTATCTTATTTACATATAAAGAATAGATACCCAATGGTGAGGAAGAGACAGAAATTGGACAAATACTCATAGGTGCAAAAATTACATCAACCTTTGAGCTTTATACTGTAAATGAGACATTTTAAATAGTCCTGTAGCCCATGCCTATTTTTTCCTCAGAAAAAGAAAAGCTGCCTTCATGACCTCCCCTCTTGTTTCAGATTTCCACAGTGTCACTTTGAAGCTTCAGAGTCAGGATCTTACTTTCTTCAAAAAATAAAGAAAATACGCCCCCTAAGGTACTTCCCATCCCCTCCCACCCACAAAATCCCGCTGGTTTCCTTTCCAGTGCCAGGTTGCATGATCAGGTCCCATCTCCTGGGGTTGTTGGCTTTTTCTGTCCATCTATTGATCATTAGTTTAGAATAGATAACATGAACCAGTTCTGGAACCACTACTAGGAGGAACACAAGCTCTTCACTACAATCACACAGCCGGAAAGAAAGAGATAACTCAATTCATCCCTGGTGCTGGGCCTCCAAAATTGAATGAACTTGGCACAACTGGAGCACTGAATTTGTATCCTCCATGCTTCTCAATCATTTTGGATTCTAGAAAACAAATAGAATTTTAGTAGGGCATTCAATCCTCTACTAACTTGGGGAGACACTGATAAAACATTAAACAAGCCAATAGCTTAACCATCATTAGTGGCCAGGAAGTTCCAAAATCCATGTTTTCTCTAATATATAGGGGCAAGGGAGCATTCATTATGTAGAGAATATAATCTCTTTTACTGTATGCTGTAGACTTCTTAGCCAATTTTCACTTCCCCATGTTAAGAAGAAAATATTTAAAAACCCCATTTTGATTCAAAAACACCAGTAAGGGCCATCTCTAAAAGGAAGAAAATCAAATCAAATGCAGGCAAATCCAAAATATGAAATACTTCAGAATGCTATGCCTTGTTTATAAAGGTGACCCTTCTTTGACTATGACTATAAAGCTAGTTTGGCTAATTATATAGACAATTGGACGAGGCGCACAGTGGCTCACACCTATAATCCTAGCACTTTGGGGGGCTGAAGCGGGCAGATCTCCTTAGCTCAGGAGTTCGAGACCAGCCTGGCCAACATAGTGAAACCCTGTCTCTACTAAAAATATAAAAACTAGTTGGGTGTGGTGGTGCGCATGTGTAATCATAGCTACTTGGGAAGCTGAGGCAGGAGAATCACCTGAAACCAGGAGATGGAGGTGGCAGTAAGCCGAGACTGCGCCACTACATTCCAGCCTGGGTGACAAAGCAAGAGTTTGTCTCAAAAAATAAATAAATAAAATGATCCTTAAAAATTTATTAAAAAATAAGGTCTATAGATATCTGTTGTGCATTAACAGTGGTGTATAACGTAAAATGTACTTTAAAAATTGCATACTGAAACATTTAAAAATGAAGTCACATCTGGGAGCTAATTTAACGTCATAAAGTAAGTTTTTCCTTTATTTTTTTGAGACAGGGTCTGGTCTCAGTCTAGCATCCGGGCCAGAGTACACTGGTGCAATAATGGCTCACTGCAACCTATACTTCCTTGTTCAAGCGATCCTCCAGCCTCACCCTCCCAAGTAGCTGGGACTACAGGCATGCACCACCTGCCTGGATAATTTTGTTTGGTTGCTTGTAGAGATGAGGTCTCGCTATGTTGCCCAGGCTGGTCTTGAGCTTCTGAACTCAAGCAACCCTCCTGCCTTGGCCTCCCAAAATGCTGGAATTATAGGCATGAGCCACCATGCCTGACCAAGATTTTACATTTTTAATAGCAATTTCTACTACCTAACCATCCCCATGAGCTAAAGTTATTACATGCTGAAAGTAGACTTCAAGTGTACTTTTTCTTTTTTGAGACGGAGTTTTACTCTTGCCACCCAGGCTGGAGTACAATGGCTCGACCTCAGCTTACTGCAATCTCTGCCTCCCAGGTTCAAGGATTTCCTTGTCCTGGCCTCTCAAGTAGCTGGGATTATAAGCACCATTACCACGACTGGCTGGTTAATTTAGTTTTTTTGTTTTAGTTTTCTTGGAGATGGAGTCTTGTTCTGTCGCCCAGGCTGGAGTACAGTGGTGCGATCTCAACTCACTGCAGCCTCAGCCTCCTGAGTAGCTGGGACTAAAGGCATGTACACCATGCCCGGCTAATGTTTTGTATTTTAGTAGAGATGGGGTTTCACCACGCTGCTGAAGCTGGTGTTGAATTCCTGAGCTCAGGCAATCTGCCCGCCTTGGCCTCCCAGAGTACTGGGATTATAGGCATGAGCCACCACACCTGGCCCAACTATACTTAAAAATAAGCAAACTGTAGCCAAAGCCAAAATTAAGTTCTCTTGTATTAAATCTCTCAGATTAGTTAATTCCTATCACTTGCAACAACTATACATTTTATATCATCTTAAATGATATAAAATTTAAAACCTGTAAAAATTTAAAAGGTATAAAAGTCACTAATTAAATAGAAGTTATGTTTAATTAACATACCATGGGCTGCTCTTCTTTGATCGGCCAGAGTTGCTATGTCTTGTAACTGTTTTCTTTGTTCTTCATTAAGACCGTGAGTCAGAGCCTGATACCACACAGGATTACGATTTTGAATAGCTATCAAAAAACAAAAACCAGGGGAAAACAATATGAATAAGAGAAGCTTCGTAGCTCCTTTCTATTCCATTCCTACTACTCCATCCCAACTCAACTGATCTGAAATTCTGATCTATTTTATATTCTGCCAATAATTGTTAAAATTACCTTATTTATGAAACAACATATATAGGAATAAAAATTAATTACAGCTTATCTTTATACCTCCAAAAATGCTAATTATTCTTATGATCCATCTCTCTAGCAAATAAGGATTCAGAGCCTAACTAGTTCTTACATATAAGTAACAAACTAGGGAGACTTCAGGAATAAAGCTAACCCAACAATCTTAAAAGACTCAAAGCTAAAGCAACTTGAAAATGATCAAGGCTACTTTGGTTAGAATTCTCAAATCACTAAATTTAAAAAGAAAAATGGGAAGCATTAAGTAGGCCAGACAAGGTGGCTCATCCCTGTAATCCCAGCACTTTGGGAGGCTGAGGCAGGCAGATCACTTGAGGCCAGGACTTCGAGACCAGCCTGACCAACATGGCGAAACCCCATCTCTACTAAAAATGCCAAAATTAGCCGGGCATGGTGGCAAACACCCATAATCCCAGCTACTCAGAACGCTGAGGCACAAGAATCCTTTAAACCTGGGAGATGAAGGTTGAAATGAGCTGATACAGTGCCACTGTACTCCAGCCTGGGCTATAGAGTGAGACTCAGTTTTTTTGTTTTTTTTTTTAAGACGGAGTTTCCCTCTTGTTGCCCAGGCTGGAGTGCAATGGCATGATCTCAGCTCACTGCAACCTCTGCTTCCTAGGTTCAAGCGATTCTCCTGCTTCAGCCTCCCAAGTGGCTGAGATTACAGGCGTGTGCCACCATGCCTGGCTAATTTTGTAGTTTTTTTTTTTTTTTTTTGAGACAGAGTTTCGCTCTTGTTACCCAGGCTGGAGTGCAATGGCGCGATCTCGGCTCACCGCAACCTCCGCCTCCTGGGTTCAGGCAATTCTCCTGCCTCAGCCTCCTGAGTAGCTGGGATTACTGGCACACGCCACCATGCCCAGCTAATTTTTTGTAGTTTTAGTAGAGACGGGGTTTCGCCATGTTGACCAGGATGGTCTCGATCTCCTGACCTTGTGATCCACCCGTCTCGGCCTCCCAAAGTACTGGGATTACAGGCGTGAGCCACCGCGCCCGGCCTCAATTTTGTATTTTTTTAAAGTAGAGAGAGCGTTTCTTCATATTGGTCAGGCTAGTCTCAAACTCCCAACCTCAGGTGATCTGCCTGCCTTGGCCTCCTAAAGTGCTGGGATTATAGGCATGAGCCACTGTGCCTGGCAAGACTCGGTCTTAAATAAACAAATAAGCATTAAGTAGATGCAGGAAAAGGGAAAATAGCACAAAATAAATGCCGTGTTTTTCTAGTCTTGCTTATTCAAATACTTTTCTTCAACATATCTATTGTCTTTCCATAGAAGGGCAGCTTTGCAATTCTCAAGTTAACATAAAAATGGTCACACATTTTTATATTGTAGCCTAAATAAAGGTCAAACCCAATCTGTGAGCAACAGAGAACAAATTTTCCCCAAATGGCACAAAATGAGGTTGTTAAAATCTCGCAATCTAACAAAAACATGCACTAGGTAAGTTGACATGACATGTTAAGTAAAAGAGTCTTAAGTCTGACCATGACCATACATACATAAGTAGCTACACACATATGTATGTGTGCAAGTGGCAGATTATATTCTCTGTAATAAAGGGTTTCCACATGAGAAATTTCTCCAGAGTATGCCAAGAAGGTAAACTGATTTCCTCATGTAGCAGTGCCAGGTGTATTTTGGTGGGAGAAAACCTGACATTCAATCACATGATTTTCTATTTCTCCTTTATTACAACTATACATAGCCCTGTGTTAGAAACCATCCTTTAGGAACTGACATGTGGTGTCTGTCTACAAAGTACAAGGGACAGACAAAGCACGTTAGGCACCTCAGTCAGTTCTTGCTGCCATGTAGCTCAGAAACCATCACTTTGTGCTTCTGCAACCTTGCATCAAAACTACCTCATCATGGGCTTAGAAGACAAACCCAGTCGGGTGCGTGGCTCATGCCTATAATCCCAGCACTTTGGGAGGCAGAGGCAAGTGGATCATGAGGTCAAGAGATCAGGACCATCTTGGCCAACATGGTGAAACCCCGTCTCTACTAAAACTACAAAAATTAGGTGGGTGTGGTGGTACACGCCTATAGTCCCAGCTACTCAGGAGGCTGAGGCAGAAAGAATCACTTGAACCCAGGAGGCGGAGGTTGCAGTGAGCCGAGATCACACCTCTGCACTCTAGCCTGTCAACAGAGTGAGACTCTGTCTCAAAAAAAAAAAAAAAAAAAAAAGG